TTTACAAATTCCAGTGATAGATATTCCAACTATGTATTTATTAACTGACTATATCAAATGACTATATTATTTTTAAATATTAATGATAATTAGATTAAGCAGATATTGGAATTCATCATTAATAGTAATAAATAATCTTTGCCAACTTCTAAATTACGGTAAAATTATTAAGGGTGTAATTTTTTTGAATATTTAAATGACGTTATTTAAGAAAAGCACTCAAAAGAATTGTACTGAACTGAATTATCGGAAAATCGGAATGTTGTCTAAAATTCTTTAGTAGGTTAAAATATTATATACTCTGTCAAAACCGGATTATAATAAATAATCGTAAAAATTCCGCAATACTTTCACCACTGCTGTCGCTTTACAGTTCCGTAAAAAAAATTATTTGTTTTCAATCACGAAACACGTTTGGGTGCCAAAAAAACTCCTTGAATAAATGGTAATTTTGTTAAGTTAAGCGTGAAGTTAAAATTGAAAAAGATTCCTACTTCTAGTAGTCAGTGTCTTTTTATACTATTGCACAGTTAGAAAAGTTCCCTTTGCTTCGAATGGTCTCTATCTCTGTTCATAAATCCGTATAATAAATTAACAAAATTATCAATAAGCGTTACAGATAATAACATGAGTGGAGGTACCATCAACAAGTAGTAGAAGATATACAAAAAAAAACATGACCAAATTCTTTTATTACAACAAGATTTTCATAAAATCTTCTTTCCTCAACTTTAAGCATATGAACCCCATACGAATGAGATCGTAGCTACTTTTCAATATACTGAATTTACTTAAGAAACATTATTGCGCCACACGACATAGCTTTGTAAGCTTTACTGGCAACTCTCTGCAATTTCGTCTAGAGTATGTTTTTTTTTTATTTCATAAGTTTTTTTTATTTATCAAGTTTTACAAAAACCTGTGGACGATTTACTGGACCATTTTCTTTTTTTTTAAATAATATTCAATGTACCTACCATGTTGAGCTTTTTACAATTTTATTTTTTTATATATATACTTAGAGGTTAACTGAAAAGTATAAAGAGTAAAACTATAAAATTAGCGTCTAGGTTCACGATTTTTACATCCTATTTAGATACTGATACATAAGACCGTCTAGGCAGGATTGGGTACTCACTCTCATACTAATAAATCTATGATTTGCCAGTATGAGTGAACAGGCTTTATATTTTATTTTGCAGCGAAGACTTCAAGAAATTGTTTCTTTACCGGTTCTACCAGTAGATTCTTTTTCACTCGCTGTCTTATTGAGGAAAATGCTTATACATAGCATTGTTTACGAATACATCAAAATTGCAGTGGATTTCAACTTTCTTGAATTTCTTCTATTCTGTACTAGTTATACTATCTCCCACATTTGTTGGTCGGCCCGAAGGCATCTCTCTCAGACATAAAACCACTTTTGTCCACATTATGTCATTTTTAATAATTTATAACTTTATAAGTATCACTCTTGCATCTGCTATATCGCATTTAAATGTAATGTTTGTATTTGAACTTGTACAATTTTAATATTACTAACACAATTCGTTTTTTATGAGAAATTAATGTACATACATAATGTTAATACGAACCTTGACATTCATATATTGTGTGCCTGATAACATTCCTCATGAGTCAGACCTCGAAAACAAGATTAACAGGTCACATAAAAGTATTATTCCTAAATATGTTGTTTCTACGCCTGCTGTTTTGTAAGTTATACAATGAGGGCCTTAAATATTGACATTAACATTGTAAAAAACATGATTAGTAAATAACAAGCCATATTAATATTACAAAAATGATTTTTTTCTGTTTATATATTTGTTTATTACATTTCACGCTTAAAATTACACTCACAATTAAAATCACACGACATAGATTGCATCATAGGAATGATCATTGGACATATTCTAATACCTGCCGCTTACACTGCGAGTCTATACGCGAGACCATAAAAACTGCTTCAATATTAAGATACGAGTAAAGAGTCTCTGTCTCTACTGTGAGATGCGTCAAAATTATAACATACTTTTTATTATATGTTTAGTGTAATCTTGGCATTTGTAGTTTTATACTCAATGACGTTTTCATATCTCCTCATAACTTTCTATGACGTGATGACTCTGAATAGCTGACTGCTAGATTCGGGTAAGAAAAAGAGGAAAAAATTAAGTTTGAAGATACATGATCTCGTAGATATTTTTTTATTTAGTGTCTTCTCATCTACACTATAATATCCGGGTTCAAGCTAAAAAGTTGACCTTCTGAAGATGCCTTTAGCTCTTTGCAGACTCTCATATAAATACGACATTGAATGTAAAATGTCAGCATTCCTACACCTGCTTGTAACGTCTTTTAGAATTGCTACAAAGATAAAAAAATATAGAATTTATTAAAAAAAGGAGACATTTGCAGAATTCAGAAATTTTAATAAAATAATGCTCTTTTAACTGAATTTTGATGTGCCTTCCATCGACTTCACAATTTCTTTATGAAAAATTGTTTTACCCTCCAAGTAGAGGTTTTTCATAAAATTTGTATTAATCCAGTAGAATTTTACCTTCAGATATTATAATCGATTTATTAAAAATATATATAAAAATCATTTCACAATTGCGATGACACCTCTTAGCTTATTCATAACCCAACATAGAAAGATTTTTCTTTTCCATTTTTCCTTAGCTTAAAGATACTTTGGTTCGATTTTTGCCAATTTACAACACTACTCTGAGTTTTTTCAGTTCAATATACCTAACATATTTTTTACTAAAATTCCAATATAATTATGTATTACAAACATTCTATAAATTCGATAAACTAAAAGATATTCCTTACATTTCTAAAATATTAAAAAGAACTTTAAGTGCAAATAAATACAACCTAAATAAAATTAGACATTTGTGTGTCATACGTTATCATTGTTCATTCAAAATCAACTCTATTCAAATATATATTCATTCAATATTTAAAAGACATATTGCATCAACAAGTAAAGGTCATTAACTCGCAATAGCAAGACGTTAGAACTACGGTGGCTAGTTTCGAAACTGGATCAACCACATGATCACCATGACAAAGATAATAGTGAATATATAATGTAATACCCATGGTATGCTAATGGTAATTACTCAATTGAATGTTAGCAAGCTCCACCCATACGTACTTTGCCGTCATGTTCTTACGTTACGTATACGTTGTAGGTACATGTTTATTTTTATTGACTATTGGTTGATGTATGTAGATGTTTCTTATGTAATATCCTTACTTATCACACCGCTATTATAAATGCGAAAGTTTATATTATGTGAGTTATACTTCTTCACGCTGAAACGGCTGGAGAAGCACAAAGGCTACAGTTAGTGACAAAACTTGCCAAAACGTAATATAATCTTACTATTTTTGGATGGATATTTGTTACTGAATCGTGCGAAGTCCCTGATATCCCTCTAGGGATCATTTTCTTAAATGCTTACATATATATCAAATAATATTCATTAGGTGTACAACGTAAATATTGATTGGCACAAAAAGTCTGAGTAAAGAAAAACTGACATATGACCTTGTTAAGAATTCAACTTTGACATATTATGCAATGACAAAAGTAGGTGCAGCCTATATGATCCACAGTACCTTTGATATTAGGGATGTGCTAAGCTACTGCCGACATACAGTTTTCATTTTATAAATCAAAAAACCGGGACTAACAATCAAATGTATAAGTTTATGCTTATTTTAAAGATATACCTACTTATTAAATACTAGCGACTCACCCTCGCTTGGCTCGGGTTCGTCCCTAGCTTGATACCCCATACAAACTTTGATCCCCATTTTCACCTCCTTAAGGGATGATTTCCGTGATAAAAAGTATCCTATGTCCTTCCCAGGTTCTCAAGTTATTTCATCTAAATAGGTTCAGTAGATTCAGAGATTTTCCCCTACAACGTCTCAAACTCACAATCTCACAAACTTTACCCCTTTATAATATTAGTTAAAGATATATATAAAGATTTAAAATTAAAAAATCTAGTAACTAATTTTTTAGGTGTATAACGATTTTCGCATGACGCTTGTCACCCCTACACTATCTACATATTAAAGTTTACTATGATAAATACTTGACAATGTTCTTAAATGTAAAAATCATTTATTTTGTCTTCGTTCATCATTCTGTACAAACTTTACCTTGTCAATACGTGGAACAAATCTGTCTGTAATTATAATTGCAAAAACTTGTACGAGTATATGTGTAGGTATGTTTGCGCCTTCACGATAAAACGACTAGACAAATTTGAATTAAATTTTGTATATAGATAAGCAGTGATCTGTAATAACCGACACCTAGGCTACTGTTAGGCACCTAGGGATGCTCCCGAGCAAGGGTAGGGTTAATCGCTAGTAGTAATTTACCAATAAAATCCTACTCAGTCCAGTCATTAATCTCCTTCGTTTGAAAGAATTGTAACTTTTCACTTGATGGCACATACTTGTACTATTAGGTACTTGAAGCTCGAGTCGATTATATTCGCGTAGCTCTGTAGTTGACACGTTTTCATAAAATGGTTGCGGTACGCAATGCAATACCGGATTTGGAAAAGTATCTCGTAGGTTGCTCGGTCAGCCGTGTTACGGTGATTCCCTTAAGAGTCAGTAGTAACCTAATTTACTGAGTACTGTTAGCTTTGAATTAATGAGCATGAGGAATTCGTTAAAACTAATCAATAAAGCGTATTTTAACATATGATTATGCCTATACGTTTTTATATGAACGTTGAACAACAACTATTTTTTTTAATAATAAATATATCTTTATCAATACGATGCATTACCCTTACATCCTTTAATTACCTTAGTTTTTCCTTAATAAGATATAGCCCGTTTTTATTTCTTTTATCTTTTCGATGTAAAAAAAACATAATTTAATATTTTATGCTTATAAAATAAGGCATATATAATAGATTAAATTATTAATAGATAAAATTATCATTTGTCGACAGATGCGACTCGGATCATACAGCTGAGATGTTATACACACATCTGCTAGCTTTGATAGAACGACCGGAAAACCAGAAGAAATTCGCTGATATTGAAAGAAAACTTCAGATGCGAGGAGCTTTGCCATCCAAGAAACCTCCTGATTCCTCACTCGGCAGTGAAGTGTCCAGAGAATCTGACTCCGGCAGCAATGAGGACAGGAACGTGGCGAATTTGTACGACAGTCTTGCTGCAGAGTTGAAGCAAAAGTTGTCTACAGGTAAAAAGGGTCTAGGTCAGTCAATTTTTTTGTTTTACGTAGGTGTTGATGCTTTTACCACGTTATGCACATGTATGGTATATATTTATGCTTCTGTGTATAATGTTATTATATTTTAGCTTGAGGATGCTTCATATAAAGCATTTAACTTTATTGATGACAGTGGTAGTTAGAACTCAACATTTTTATAAAAATCGTATGCATATTAGATATATACATATTTTAAAACTAGATTATTTTATTAGTTTATTTATTTCTATACGTTTATTTATCTAGACCTACATATTATAAAATTGTAACTAAGCCGAATCTGTACATTAAATATTTTTTGGAAAAACTTATTGAAATAGACATTATTATGATACAGAGGCCGAATATATAGTTTTTAGAATTTTTGTCTATCTGTTACATTTGATTTTGATGAAATTTGGTATGATGATAGCTGGTTATCCGGGTCAACATATAGGGTACTTTTTACTGCAGGAAAATATCTCATCTCGGAGAAATCTGTACTAAGCGTTAAAAAAGCGTAATACAATAGGTATGTCATTACCTAGACAGAATAATAAATGTGCCTGTTTGTATAAGTTGCCATTATAATATATGAATTTGATGTCAGTGATGTAACTCATTGAAGCTTTTTTTATTTATATTTTAACTGCTTGCGCATATTAAATTAAAAGAATACATTATGTTTATCACATTGCACGTAGCACAAGCTTTAAAATAATTAAGTGGAATATAAAACCCATAAAATGTAGGAAAACATAAGTATTCAATCATTAAAATTTTGTAAAATACTGGTACTAAAATATCATGGTGATAAAAAAGATGCAGTGTAGTAGATCTTCGTGTAAAATGTTAAAGGTAGTGTGAAGTACTGACAAAATATGATTACCTTATGTTATATTACCTACCTTTGTGGGCGAACACGTTAATTTTGTTCATTATGTAAACAAAATCAAGTTTTATATTTGCGTTGTGGAATTTTTTAAGATGCGAGATATTCATAACTTTAAGGTCAAGCTAAAAAAAATATATTTTATAATACTTACAACGTTAAGTTTAATTTTAAACCGTATTAATACACATCTCCTGCGATAGCTCCATAGTCAAACATAACATGAAAGGCATTTTTTCAGGCAAAAGTCCGATCCTCCTACCTCCACGAGACTACGACACCGTACATCGTCAAAAAGGCAACTTGAACAACATAGATACAAGGCGTTGCTTAAATCAGAACATTGTAGGCATAAATGCTCGCCGTAAACTGGAGTCTTCGGGTGGCAGTTCTGGAATAGGAAGCGACCTCGCGCCCTCGCCGGAGAGAAACGAATACCCGCGACATGATAACCATAGCACTAGCGGTAAGATGACGAGATTTTACATCCATACTAATATTATAAATGTGAAAGTGTGTTTGTTTGTTGTCCTTCTTTCACGTCGAAGCGGAGTGACGGATTGGCGTAATTTTTTGTGTGGAGATAGTTGGAGGGCTGAACATACATGACATAGGCTACTTTTTATCGCGGGACATTATCTAATTCCCACGGGAAAACACGTTATAATACAATACAAAAAAATATTTATGATCAAAATGACTTGAAACTTGGTATTAATGCTCTTCAATAAAATTAAATAAATACTTGTTTTAGCATTTTTCGAAATTCATCCTATAAGGAGGTAAAATAGGGGATGAAAGTTTGTATGAAACTACCTTTTTAGAGATTTTTATGTAGTTTTAGCGCGAGCGAATTCTTACTGCTAGCATAATGCATAATTTTTTTATAACATTAGTGACCTTAAGAAGAAAGCTCTACGAAGCGTCGATTTAATTCTCAAATATCGTGAGGTTTACCAGTAGATTTAATTTCGCAAAATATTGTAAATAATAACATTTAGCCTACGTATATAATGCCCGTGTCTATTGTTCTAAGCCGTCTGTTTCTGAGATTACCCCAAACAAACACACACCCATGACGCAGCACGGCTATAAAATTTGGCTATAGCTAATTTATGCGCTCGATAAACTATCTGACTACATTTCATCTAATTGCAATTTTATATACCGTTTTAACGTAATAGTTTCTCACTTTAAATAAATTTTTGCAACTTTAAAAAGAGGTTCTATTGCAAACTGAAATATTTTTTTTTATTTTCACGTAACTTTAGACACTGACTAATAATATAATTAAATCTCCATCTGCTATACCCACGTTATTAGAGATGATACTTTTAGCCTTGTGAGTCATCTGACCTTTTACTCCTATGTAAATATGTAAATGTTAATGAATTAAATAACAACATTTTGATTGCTAGCATTGAAAATGGATGTTCAATAGAATATATTTACAATCGATATATAATTGTTTCATTAAAATACACTAAGATACTACTAAAAAACAGTTTTGTCGATTATTTATAAGTAAAAAGTACGTACCTATGCAGTGCAACTAAACGCGAGCTGTGCACAAATTAATTATTATTGCCATATAATAATAAATTTCTTCTCTTTAAGTATTTTTAAAGAAGCCATTATAAAGCTTATGAATCAAACTTCAAAAAACTGACTGATAATTGTACAAGTGTATATATAATATTATGTAATTTATAAGTAGATATATGTAATGTACGTTTTACAAAACAATTTAGATTTTAGATACATAATAGGTTCTTTCCTGTAAAATTACGCTAACAACATTCAGATTCACATCAGATTATGTAACGTGCATAACATATTTTGTTCATTAGCGCCTCTCATTTCGAAGAATCTTTTATTTACAAAAAATAGCTCACAGCGCTTTAAGAAGTGCTATTCTGATAAATCTTTTATTTAGTTTGACAGCTGAATCCGGAATCTATACATATAATAAAATTGTACCTAAGCCGAATCTGTACATTAAATATTTTTGGAAAATCTTATTGAGATAAACATTATTATCGATACAGAGGCCGAATCTATAGTTTTTAGAATTTTTGTCTGTCTGTCTGTTACCGCATCACAGAAAAAACACTGGAGGGATTTTGATAAAATTTGGTATGGTGAAAGCTGGTTATCCGAGTCAACTTATAGGATACTTTTTACCCCGGGAAAATGTCTCATTTCTGAGAAAAAATACAAAAACTGCAATGTAAGAGTATACTAATATATAAAACCTAAATTTGGTTTTTGGTCATCTGAACGCGGTCGGAGCCGCGAGCAATGCGTTCTAGATAAAATACTTGTATGTTCGTGAATTCAGCTTTCGAGACTAGAGTTATATGTACGTTCTTACAGAATAGCACTAAATATAAAATATTAAATAGATTATTAAAAGTAAACAGAGAAAATAAAAGTATTGGTAGATGGTGATCAAAATACTCAGATTTTACCTAGATGAGATCATTAACACTTAAAGTCCCGATAAATATACGTCGTAAAATGTCGAATACAAAAACACACGGATATAGTTCTGCGCATACGCGACCAGTCACGAACTATGACGGTGGTAATTGAAATGACCACATTCCAACTTTAAATTTTATAATAATATACCTACAACCATCTGTTTGTAGCGATATAGTCGGATTACTATTTCAAATGGCTTAAGTTTGTATGTAAGTACATATTTGTCATGCGTTCACGCCTAAACAGCTGGACGGTTTTAGATGCAATTTTGTACACAGATAGGTGTAAAATATAGGCTATGGTAAGGCACCTAGGGGCGAAGTAAGTTGCTATGTCACTTTGTGTGATTTGTATGGTATTCATTCATTTTAATTAAGTTCCTTAGCAAATCTGATGATGTTTAGGTTTTCATGCTTAAGGAAAAGAATATAATCTATTTAATACAAGTACTCAATATATGTGAAATTTTCGAGTATCATTATACTAAGCAAAAATAGTTCAATATCTCAATAAAAATAGTTTAGTACCAAAATACAACATTTTATATGTATATATATATATATAGTTATATATAGTTAATAAAAATTTAATTAAAAACTTGCTTTAGGATTTTATAATCACGTAATGTACAAGATTTATTTATCTATTTGTTACATGTACTAGCGGTTCTAAAAGCAATTATCGCAAAGAACACTTTAGAGTCCCAGCAAAAACCCAATTTAAAATTAATTAAAACTTCTAAATGTGTTTTATTATCCAAAAAAATATTAATTTCGTTATAATTAACTGTGTAATTTGGCACAAATAAAAATATTGAATCTTTTAAGTTGAAACTTGAAAGAGTAATCTATACACATGCCTATTGTAAGCAGAAAAATTGTCGTAACTTAATTATAATGCATTGAAATGCAAGTTTACATAATGTACAAACAATATCTCGCTCTCAAATGGTTCAAGAACGAAGGCTCACCTTCGTTCAGAATGACTTGGCAAGTGAATTTATATACCCACTGTCGGCTCAAACATATTATGGCTTTATTTACGAGCGGTCGCGTGCCCTGTTTTATTGATTAAGTATAATTTTTATAACAAAAATTCAATGAAATTAGTTATATCTACAAAAACACTAGCGGCTCATCCTCGCTTCGCTCGGGTTCATCGCTAGGTACGTTTTAAATATATATAAATAGTTATTACCCAGCGTTAGCCATATAAATTTTAATATGGGTGTTAAGTATTCTTAAGTATTCTTAAATTTTATAATTTTCCGCGCAATTTTTAATTTTTTTCTTCCATAAGAACCTTCTCCTGACAATAACAAACACAACAAAAAAAATAGTTAAATCGGTCCAGCCGTTCACGCGTGATGGCGTGACCAAGTGAAATAGGGATATATATGTATGTATATATAGATTTGACCTAACATTGAACCGCTATAAACGTTATGTTGAAAATGAAATACGTACTAAGAAATAGAAAATAAGATTTAATTTTTTATTTAGGCATATCTTTGTTTTACTTGAATCCATGCATGCATATAAATATTAATTAGATAAATTTTAATACATTGTTAATTGTTCATAATAATAAAAGTCAAAGTTTTTATTTCTATTTTAGTCAACAAACACATAAATCTAAATAAAATAAGAAATTTCCTTCATATTTTTTGAATCCTTTACTTAATATGCATAATGACTTCTATGATTATTTCTGAGATAATAGACAAAAATGTCTACTACCTATATTAACATCACATGATTATTTTACCTAAACAATACTTATTGAAGGATATGCTAGCAATAATTTGGCTGGCATTATGTAATTCCCATAGACAAAAGACCTATTGTTTAAAATTGAGAACATCTTACAACAATCGAACAACACCGTGTGAGACTCTATGGAAGTTTACGTATCATATTTATTATTATTATTATATTTGATAAACAAAAATATTTGTTAATAACATTTAAAAATTGTCAAACTTATAATCCACTTGATAATTTACATCTCGCAGAAACAAGTACCCTACTTACATAAATTATCGAAATAGATTTTAGGTTGCTCTCCCTCTTAAAAAAAAGTGAAATTCAAATATATTTTTAAAGCTTTCCCTTTTGTTTAAAGCAATCTAGAACACCATTAAAAATAAAATTAAACTTAAAGTGTCTGTGAAACCTAAATCCTGATGTAAACGCGCTTTAATGTGCGATAAGCCGAGATAAAGTAAAAAGACACGTGGGAGCAGACAGGTTCTTTCTATGTCAAAAAGCATTCGCATTCGCAGATAATTTAGTTCGCTGTTTGATAAATATGAATTAATTATATGTCTATTTGCTTTAGTACTGTATGGGTGGGGATTAAAAGCTTAAAAGTTATTTATTTACATAGTATATTAGAAATGAGTAGTGGGCACTAATTTAATTATTAATTGTAATTTTCTTTGGGACTTTAAAATACACCATAGTAAGAAGAGCTAGTAAGAGCAAAAGTATCAATGCTTAGCTTACTTTTTTGCGTCTGATTTTTTCTATCATTCGGTCCAAGTTTGAGTTTAAGTTCCAAGTAACGCTTGAAGCATTTTTATCCAAATTTAAAACTAATACACAGATTTGAAAAATTGTGCTTAATCTAGCAAACAATCATGTAAATTGGTATATGACCTCATAAAAAGGTCATTTATTTCGACATCACAGAAAGGCTTATATATTACTTATACTTACTATATCACTATGACACGCTGTCTTGTCTCAGGTATACGCTAACTTTCAAACAAGTTTAGTCATAAAAGGCGTGTTTTAGAAGAGATGAACTCCCGTTATATGTAAAAGCGAATCTGACAATAGGAAGATACTCTACAGACCGTTTCGAATATATTATATACAATAAAGTAGGCAATTAGGGCAGGAAATATCTTTTACATAAAATTTTATAATTTAATTAGAAAGTTTTCTTTTTTGATAAAGTAGAGTATTTGCGAATTGCGAGGTAGTGGTTAGTTATATTGGACACTTTCAATTTATGCTTAATTTCTCATTACATATTTATATGGTTAATTTCATACGCGTTCTTCATTAAATATAAAAAAACAAAATTATTGATTCTTATTAATTTATTGTATTTCAACATTTCAGAGGAAGACTGGGCAGAGAGTACAGCGTACTTAATGCATGAAGCCTTCGATGCGTCTCCACCACGTCGAGCGCCTTCCCCGCGCCGCTCCTCTCCCCCGCGCCGCACCCTATCTCCGCGTAACTTTGAGAGAGCTTACAATGACGACTACAGCGACCAGTACCGTGACCAAATCCCATCATTCCGCGACCAAGCAACCTTCGATCGCAGGTTTCGTCACGAATCTCTCGAGCGAAAGGACAAAACAGAAAAATTCGATGACGACACAAGCTATAGAAGGAGATATGTCGCCGAAACAAAGCCTTCTAATAGAAGTATAGACAGGGTAGAAGACCGCAGGTTTGGTAAGCTGCAAAGAGGGGCAAGCGAGGGCAGTCTAAAAGTCGCCGATACCTCCCCAAAAGAACGGTTCGTTGTTGCTAAAGAAAAATTCATGAACCTGGAGAGGGAAAGGTTTAACAGAGAACTCCAAGCTCACATGGCGATGCGGAGGAGCATGCTAGAACGGAATAGTCGCTCGACTTCTTCCCCCGAGGAAGAAAGGCGAGACGAGCGTCAGGACCGACCAGTAAGCTCTCGGCGAGAAGCTGACCGTTCCCATCGCGACATAGAACGTTCTCTCAGGGAACCGGACAGGCGCAAAGAAGAAAGAGTTCGTGATTTGGCAGCTCCAGACTTAGCCCAGAGAGAAATTGAAAGACTTCCTCGAGTTGGTCGAAAGCGTGATGAAATCAAGAGATACGAGTATGGATCAGAGGATTATTTGAATAGGGTTGAGCCAAAACACAGGAATGACTTCGATCGCTACAGAGAAAGGCGAGAATTGGACCACCGCATCGATGAAGATGACGTAATCGAGCCAGTAATAGAGGAGAGAAGAAATTGGAACGATCGACAAAGAGCATTCAGTCGCTCACGACTTGTGGATGAACAACGACAGTCGTATGCAGAAGGAGACAGAGACAGATTTTACGAAAGGGACTATAGAGATTTTAGTGACCTAGCCGATAGGCAGCCGGCGAAATATAGACATAGTTATGCTGAGCCAATACCCAGAGGTCGTCTAGGTACTGTCAGACCTTATTAGTAATGCCATAATAGGAATAAAATTTAGCACTTGTTGTTTGCAATGACGATGGTTACGCAGTAATCGAAATATCACGAGCTTTTGTTGTCGATTTATTACAATGTACCTATGTTTTATAATATATCGATATTGTACTTGTAAATACGGGAAAACAAATTATATGATCAAATGTACCTACCACATGATATCAATATATCTTTCAAAAATCAAAATCGAAGTAAAAAACTTAACTAGTCTTTTATTAAATAGTAAAAGATATAAATATTTATAATATCTAATCTGCCATTATATCTGAGCTAGAACAACTGAATGATAAAGAGGATATTTTTTGCACTAGCATGATAAAAAGTATTTTATTTGTATCTTATTTTACCAACGAGCCCATTTTATTTATGTTGGTAAAATAAGATATTTAAAAGAAATCATTTAAAATATCGTCATCATAAATATCAGTGCCATCAAAAAGCCTCCTCACTGAGCTCAGATGTCAAACTACTATTAATTTCTACGTCTCTTTTCTTCTCAAAATTTCATAAAAATATAACAACGAAAAAGCAAAAAGAGACTTCTCCGTTTTATAAATAACATAGATGAATACTCATTAATTGTCACAGAAATATATTTGTAAATATAAATTATAACCAATAACCATAATTATAGACGAGTAAATATGAAATTGTATACCTTTAAAAAGATTATCAAAACATTAAATCAAAGAATATTTTCTTGATTCTTTGTATTGTAAAGAAGAAAATTAATATGATTTAAAACTATTCGATATTAGTAGTATAAAATGTATGTCATAATCACAGTATACACTAAGTAGTTTTAAAATGTGCCGCCAGTGGCATTGGTAATGGTCATGTAATCCGTCCTTAACGTTATGACGATGTAACTGTGAAATGTTAATAATAAACGTTTATTGATTATATCTGTCTCTTATTAAACTCAATACATTTATCTTTATTTTTCACATACTCTAGATTTCTCTTTTAGAACTCTATCACTAATATAATTTATACTTCTTGAATAAATAACTACATACATAGTTCACTAGTAAAATCTATATACCTAATAAAAATCCTTATTGTTAAGAATAAGGTGGTATACGTGTTTAGATACTTTATTATTGATATACATATAAAAAAGCGTGTGTGTTTACTTATGTACGCACGTTAGAAGTTGTACTTCTTTGGGCTAACTGTTAGCGAACAAAAATAGCTAAAGATTTCATCCCGTATGTCACAACTCTCTGTTTGTAAAAGGAATGCAGCTAACTTCATCATGTTGCGTTTTGGCTGTCGGTGTGCGCGCGCATCGTAAAAATTTTACAATCATATTTTTTTCCAAACGTGCCAAAAGAAGTATAACTGCAAAAATGGGAAGTTTTTTAATTGGGTAATAATAGTGATTTTAAATTTAAATATACGTAAAAGGTATATTAATATTGTTAGGCAATCTTGAAATAATATTAGAATAATTTATCTGCAGTACTTTTAGAAATACCACTGATGACACAATATTATACTTAATATACTATACAATATAATAATATACGAGTTTGATAATCATCACTCATTTCCTACTTGACAAAAGGGTCTTACTGACTTTCACAGATCCGATTGATTTGAAATTTGGTGTACTGAAAATAATTAGTTAATTTGGTGTACTTTAGTTAATTAAAACCACAATTTGCTTTTTAGCAAATCGTTACATGTATCGCCATCTATTACATATAATTACACTTATTTCTTTGTTCCCGATGAGATGCAATGGCAATACACAGTAATTAATTATGGCCGATTTATAATTAAACTGAAACCCAAAAGACAATATTACTTTCCAAAATAAAACTTGATTCTTCAGATCAACATCCAAACTGTACAAATATGTTTCTGTCAAAAATTTCTGCGTCCACCATTGTTAAATAATCATTGATGGTAAATTTATAATACCAGGCGCCCTCAGAATAAACTTGGAATCCATTCGACGACATGGGAAATAGTTGAGTAGACTATGCAGAAATGAGAATTAAGTCATTAATATTCCGAATTTTAATTGAACGTCATCTCTACTATATGAACGCCGTTGCGTAGATCTTGTAAGTGTACTAAATACTCGTAAGAACCTATATAGGACGATAACTGAAAACTTGCCTCAATGTTGGAAATTGTAATAATAGGTAAGGCAGTGGCCCAGTAAATGAAGCGGGATCAAATCCCGGGTCACGCGCTTCTAACATTTTCATGTGCGAATCGGTTCCAACATGATTAGCGCTTATCTTACGGTGAAGGAAAACATCGTGAGAAAACCTGCAAGTCTATGAGAACCTAGCAAGATTTTGAAAAAGACGGGATCCGTCTCATTAGCGTCCGGCATTCCAGCTTTGAAACAAAGTGAAAAATAACATTATTTTAATTTTTCCAACGGGAATCTCTTCTGAGACCTTTCAAAAGTAGCTTTAAAAAAGGAAATAAATCTCAGATTTGTTATTTAACACCCCTGATTTTTTTCTATTCTTAAATATTATATATTTTTTTAATATGTTAAAATATTTTTTATTGATAAAGTGTCTGAAGTAGTATTTTTCCCCTCTTGCCCTCTGAGAAAATTATAAATATTGGTCCTACAGTTCCGGGAGTCGAGACTTTGACTGTTATGAAATTTCCTCCTCTTTTTGAATCTTTTTTTGATTTGAAAAATCTCAATAAGTTTTTGAGACACTTGCAAAAAACTAAACCCCTTTTTTTAGTTAATTGCTTATAACTTTTGCAATTTTTGTAAGCGGTACTTGTTTTTTTTTTTTCAAAAATCATCTACACACCATTCCAAATCGAATGACACCTCGTTTGTATTTTTCCGAGACTGCTGAAAAAAGTTGACCAGAAAGCACTTGTAAACAAGACTACTGACAAGACACTTCGGTGAGCAGTGCCATAGTACCATGCGGGTAGCTCCTGGTATTTTTCTGACAGTAGAGTGGACAATGGAAGCAACACCTTGATTGTGTGGTCTGCTTCGGCAGACCTTCCGTCGGGGTATCATCTTTGAGTGCGTAAGTGATCCAGCGACGACCCATTAAGACGGGGGAGGTTCTATTGGGTAGTACAGGCTTCTCTCAAGCCGGTGATTCCCTTATAACCACCTATATGTATACAGGTGATATGTGCAAATGCATTTCCCAATATAAAAAAAATAAACAGTATTATGCAATGGGATACAAAAGATATCTATGTAACTCAAGACTCGCAGTAAGGATAAACCATGTGCCAGACAAAATAATTTACTAAAATAAATATAATAAAGAAGGCGACGGTATACGTACGAGTATGTGCGAGAAGTTCATAAAGGCCAATTATACTTAATCCCTTTGTTTATTTCCAACTACCTATAAAGTATAAACACATTTGAAGACTTAGTTTTGAATTAATAATTGATATTTTTGTTCCACTATTATTTAGTTCAGATATTCAATAAAAGTTTGCAGGTATTAAAATTAAAATGAAATGAAACGATATTCTTAGAAAATTATAAAACATTTATTTACAAAAAAAAATTATTGCACATGTCGATAATATTGCACTGAAATTGCACAACTGTGTTAAAAGGAATTTCATTATTTCATAATAAACTAAATTAATACAATACATAAATAAACATATAATATATTTGTTAATTATAAACAAAGTACAAAACGATATTTAAAGTAATATCGAAAAATGATTAATTCTCATTGTATTAATTTCATTTCGTCAAAAAATCGAAGAGTCATTAAAAACTTTTTATTCAATACATTCGTTATTTTTACTAGAAAAATCGTTTCGTGAATTAGATAAAATGTTCTTAGAACTAAACGTGACTGAATATATCTAACCTATGCATAAAGGTTATTTCACGAATAAATAACTACATACATAGTTCACTAGTAAAATCTATATACCTAATAAAAATCCTTATTGTTAAGAATAAGGTGGTATACGTGTTGAGATACTTCATTATTGATATACATATAAAAAAATAAAAATAACCACAGATTCAACAACTGAATACATGTATAGAGAAATAAGTTACTATTAATACAAAGCATCTAAATGTATTCAGTGATTGCTCTGTGGCTAATAAAGTAGATTAAAATGTCATATTTAAAAAAAAACGTAATTCTTCCATTCGCCATATATAGATAACGGTCAGTCGAGTCACTATAATTTATTAGATTTACTGTAATAAACAATTTTCTTAAAGTTTTAAATTCCGAATCAAAAATCCCAATTTAGATAATTACGATTACTATATGGTTAAAATAAACTGCATACATTAAAAAAATACAAAAATCAAACAAAATAATAAATATGATATGATAAGATCCAAATACATTATGATATTAATTAAGGAAAATACCCCAAAGTATCTTCTAAGCTGGCGTTTCTGCTGATTGGTCTGTGGTCGAACATTCTAGCAAGAGGTGGTGTGGGGTGCGTCAGTGGAGCCCTAGGCCTGCGCCCGCCCAGCGAGCGCACGTCGGTCCTCTGGGAAAGTCTCACATCTGCGAATAACGCCGCCATTTCCGCTGATTTCTTCACACTAAGTGCATCTTGAGAACCCGCGCCGGTACTACGAACTGGAAAATATATGAATCAATAGTAAATACTAGATGTAGTTAGAAATATTGGTAAGTGCTTTGATTTAGCTGCTAGTGAGTACCGCTGCAAATCCGGATTTAGGATTTGCATGGTTGTCATTCATAAAACATAGAGGTTTTCTGACGAAAGAAATTTTTCGTAACTGGAAAAAGTTTTTTATTCTGGATATAACACGTAGGAGGGTCCTTAGTGATTAAATGCTTTCTTAAAATAAAAATATGACCAATCTAAAGTTAGAATTAGAAATAATATCATTGTAATTGATTTACATCAATGTAATTGATTTACAATTAAAAGTAACGCACAAAATCACACAAAAACACGTACCTACCTAGCCGAACTGAGATTTAAGTTTTTTTAGAAATTAAATGAAAGTGGATTAACTACATAATAAATTTTCTAAATAAACTTATATGAGGTTGAGTTACAATAAACACAGACAGCTTTCTTTTTATTAGTATTTTATGTCAACTATGTAACAATGTTTTTAGTAAAAATACAGAAAAAAAAAGATAATCAATAAGAGTATTATTTTCCTACATAGGCAATCGCCAAAAAGTATGTAAAAGTGAATATTTCATTGTTTTGGTTTTTGATCTCTCCCGTGACCCTGATTGCTGTAAATAAATCCGAAAAGATAGTTTTATTTAAAATATTATGATATGTATTTTTTTGCCATGATGCATCATTCAGTGATCAGCAGCCGTCTTTCCAGCCGGAAGCCAAAACACACGCCGGCTAGCCGTCAGGGCGTCGGGTTGAGTGCCTGAACGACCTTGTGACGCTCCATCAGAACGAAGGTGAACTCAGCGCTGGGTTTACACTAGGGGCACTCGGTGCTAGTGCTCAGGACGGCAAATATTAAAAATATTTGAACTTTATCGAAACTTTACCCATTTTCTGGAAAATTTCGATAATAGGTCGGCATTTTTTACTGTGCCCAGTGGCGGCGCTAAGGTTAAATCCAGCGTTGAAGGTGGTTTTCATTGGGCTTTAGCCAGAGAGTCCCACCTACTGTACGTAAGTAGGTCCTATGCGTAAATGGATTTCTGAACGTTAAAAAAAATCTAAATTACCCGTCAGCCGCTGCATGTTCCTGTTGCGCGGCTTGTTCTGCAGCAGCAGCTCGTAGTCGAGCGCGAGGCTGTCGGAGCTGCGCGCGCGGCGGCGGCGGCTCGACGCACCCGACCTGCGACATTGGACGGTTTATTGTGATTCAATTTGACTACTACCTATTATAAATGTGAAAGTTTGTATGTATGTATATTTGTATGTGTGTATGTTTGTTTGTGTGTATGTCTGTGATGATGATCACGGCTGCACGAATTTATATGAAATTTAATACCTACGCAAGGAATCATACATAGTGTATGACTTGGAGTAACTCATAGGATACTCTTAGGCACATAGGGAAACGTCTGAGCGAAATAAGAGTCTAAATAAATTACTTTTCAACTTCAAAGGCAATCGTAGTCCTTTTAAGCCCTTGATTTTTTCTTAGAATTTATTTGGGACTACCCCATAACTTTAAGGAACCATTTTTGTGATAAAGAATTGTACCTTTAATGTAAATTGTTCTATTAATTATTATTGTGCGTATTTTTAATAATACAAGTGGAATATATATATTTTTTTAATTTATTGAAATAAACATGTTATCACTTTCAATAACTGCATAAATTCCTACTATAAAGAAGTCTCGATAATATAATATATAGAATTTCGATGAAAATCAAATATGGAATAATTTAAATATTCAAATTTATTTCTAAAAATATTAAATATTTTTGTGGGTTACAAGATTAGATCTCGTAATAAAATAAATACATCATTTTAGAAAGATCTATAAGATGATGATTCACTCATGATGATTTGATACCGTTTTATTTTGCATATTTTAAATATAATATGTTAATTATAAAATAAGGAAGAGTATCGATAAGGCCTTGTTTCCGCCTCCGAATAACGAAAAAAAAAATGTCATACGATTTAATCATTTCTTTACATATACTGAAAGTAAAAGCAAAAGTGTGCCTGATAAGATAATATATTTATGACAAAAAAAACTGCAATAAATACTACTTGTGAGATGCCAAACTTTGGCCCAACAAGTAATGGTTTAACATTACGTCCTAAATGAGACAATTTGTAACATTTCAACTTTTTTTTATATAGAGCGCAGGATGTAAGCACTGTAATTTTTAAATATACTATATAGTAATATAATAACATTAAAAAAAGATAAAAAAGAAAGTGCTTCTTATATTCGCTCCATATAAAAAAAGTTAAAATGTTACTGAAAATGTCTCATTTTCAACCAAAATACCAGTTAGATCAAAGTTTGGCGTCTCACAAGTAGTATTAATTGACAATTGTAGTTTTTTTTTATCTATACATATAATAAAATTGTAACTAAGCCGAATCTGCACATTAAATTTTTTAAAAAATCTAATTGAAATAGACATTATTAACGATACAGAGGCCGAATCTATAGTTTTAAGATTTTTTGTCTGTCTGTCTGTCTGTTACCGCATCACAGAAAAATCACTGAAGGGATTTTGATGAAATTTGGTATGGTGATAGCTGGTTATCCGGGTCAACATATAAGGTACTTTTTACCGCGGGAATATATCTCATTTCTGAGAAAAAATACAAAAACTGCATTGTAAGAGTATACCTACTAATATGTAAAACCTAAGAATTTGGTTTTTCTGTCACCTGAACGCGGGCGGAGCCGCGGGCAATGCTAGTCTCATAAATATATTTTTATTAGGCATATGGTCTACTTTCAAAATATCTAAGGAAAAGTTCAAATCGTATGACATATTCTTTTTCGTTATTCGGGAGCGGAAATGCGACCTTATCGATTGATACCCTTCCTTTTTAAAAGTAAAATATTAATCATATTAGTTGTATCATAGCTGACGTACATTAAAAAAAAATAAAAAAGTATTAAATCATTTCGGATAAAAATTGATTGATGACTAAGAACTCGTACTATGAAGGTTTACATAGTAATACTTTCTCTAAAACGACATACATACATATATAGGCTATTTTTAATGCTCACAATCATCCAAATCAAAGGTATGTTGTATGTTTGTCATATTTACACCATAAAAAATACTAACCTAGTTCTTGGTGGTTTGCTTTCGTGGTCATCAAAGGCTTTTTTCATGCGATCTGAATAACTTTTATTCGAAGGACTCTTCAAATACTCCAAGCTCTGTGAGCTTTGTATCGTAGTCCTCCTCGGTCCGGTGCAATAACATTTATTACTATCCGCACAACTTTCCGAGTCGCACGAACAGTAACTATAGTCACCGTCGTATATTTCTCTGAAAATTTAATATTACAATCAGTCTTTACAGTGGAAACGCGATGAAAACAAGTGGTTTTGTGTGTTTAATTTTTTTTAAATGACTTGAAATCCTAATTTTTTTAATACAAGAAACGGATTACTATTATAAATGCGAAAGTTTATATATGTGTGTTTGTTTGTTGCACTGAATCGACTGGATATAAGACACAAAATAAATAAATGATGGCCTGGAGTAACATCAATAACAACACAGGCTACTGTTAGATACCTAATAAGGACGCGTCCGAGCGAAGTCTGGGTGAATAGCTATTAATATATAAATACGCAATTTTTTATTAGTTGCTTGTCTTCCACGCACCAATGCATCGACTAGATATTTTTATAAAGATAATTTATGGAACAGAGAGTGACCTACCTGGCTTTTATATAGATACATGAGTCATCGAGCAGTGAGTTATTAGTCAAATAGTTACATAGGGATGCTTGAAAGAAACGTGAATGGGTATTATAATATATTTATGCGAAAGTGTATTACTGGGTTTGTTGATTGTATTATTATTATTATTGCCCTCCTTTCACATAGCGACGGAGATAACAATTTTTCTTATGACAAAAGAGGTTCAAAACAACTTAAAAGTAATTATTCCATACTTTGGCGAAAAAGTTTTATGAAATTTATTTTAAGCCTATTTATTAAAAAAAACAAGTAATCGAAAACAAAAAAACCAGGAAATAATAATATAAGTACATTAAGGCTATATATATTAATATAAATAATAATATAAGTATAAATTAATAGATTTTTTTAAACTATGCTAAGTTATCCATCATTGCATCCGATTTTTTTGGTTTTTCAATACAAATAGAAGTAACATCAATACAGACTAGCAATAAAATCTATAATATTCAGTCAAACACCTTAACTTTCGCCTTTTTATTACTTTTAGGATACTTGAGTTCAAAGAAATTATGCTTCGAATAGTAACCATAGATATATTTGCAAGATACAAGATTCGAAAGTAGGTAGTGACGTATTTAGAAAGTTTCATAAATAATAATTGTAAATAAATATACTAAAAGATTTGGGTATCAAGACAATCCAATTTAATTAGACAGAAGTTGTATAATTTATTAGGTACTTAATGAATGGATCATTTCCTTTTATTAATGATTGCGATAATAATTATATATACTACTTAAGACTTTAAAGATAATTAAAGAGATTTTAAAGAAACTTTAAGCATATATTAGAATAATATAATCATAAATGCTCTATCAAAATTCAACGTAGAAGTGTCTAATGTAAATAAATTGTTTAATAACACAAACGCTGGTAACTAATTAGAGCAAAATTCTAAAATAGACTACGAAAAACCATCAATTCGTTAGAATTCAAAATTATCTTACTAAACTTAACTGAAGTAGATTTTTTTCATTTCTAAGACAAAACTACGGCCTACTTCGGAAAAATCGATTTTATTGTATAAATAAATTATTTGCTAAATAATCCAAAGGTACCGTCATGTATTATTTTATTTTTGGTCGACTTCAAAAAATGACAAGTTTTTCATTTCATTCATTTGTAACGAATATATCCTATAAATATGTAAACCTCAGGGTTGGTATCATATAAATATCCATAATGTCACCTCTAAGTGTTTACTAAGTAAAGCTAAAAGCAATTTTACATACTGATTGTACGTACACTGTAATTATTGCCTTCGTAGTTGGTACGTTCCTAATAATAATTAATTCGCTATTTTGCAAGTTAAATAACAAAAAGCTCATCAATCTAGACAACTCGGTATAGAAGTTTTGCTCTTTAGATAGTATTTCCATATAAATTATGTTTATAATGATGAAATTACGGTTCATTAAATATTATCTTTGGTCATAGTTCATGGCATATAAATAATCTATAATCTAATAATTTCATTACATTGCTTTTCTGATTTCTCAATCTCTGTCGTCTGTAAATAGCTGGAATTATATATATTTAGAATCTTATATTTTATTTGCACAATTTTGTTTCATATATATATATATATGTCAAAATCAAATCAAATATACATATAATGAAATAGTAACTTAGCGAAATCTGTACATGAAATATTTTTTAAAAACAATGACATTAACGTTTTATGTCCCAATATAGACCCCAAAACAATAGTTATTCAAATGTTTGTCTGGTTGTGTATACGCCGTTCACGCAAAAAGTAATGAACCGATTTTAACGAAATTTTGTGCAGTGATAACGTATTACTCGGTACAACATTTGGGATACCTCTCACTTCAGAAAATCTTTCCCATGGGGAAAAAAACTATAACTGGTTCTAACGAGTCGTCCTTAGAAACGTATATCCTGGCTGCTAACGCTGGCTTAACTTCAAGAGATACATCAAAATAATGTACTAGAAAATTGTAGGTCTTAAAAAGGCCTACAGAAAAGTCTGCAATAGTATATGTCTATCTCCTAGGGTACACTCGTAATAACTATTTTTATTATATATTAAAGGCAATGTCGCGACTCACTAACTTACTTATGAACGTTCAGTCCAAACCGATGATGATAGTAGACCGGCACCACAAAAAACAGCTTTATATATAAATAATAGCTAATATCAAATACGAAAGTAACTCTGTCTGTCTATCTGTCACCTTTTTACGCTTAAATTGCTACACCGATTTAAATGGGTATGGATAGTTTGAGACCCTGGGAAGGACATAGGATAGTTGTTACCCTGGAAAAAATCTCTCGTGGGAGTGTAAGGGTTTTTTTAAATACCTACTTTTCTATACATTTTACACATATAATCTATACTATACTAAGCGTTGAAACGTACCGGCGTAGGGACGAAGTCGGGTGAGTCGTTAGTATAAAATATAGTTTAACTTTCAAATCGTCAAATTTTATTTTTATTTATTATAATAATAAATGTAGTCAGTCCGTACCGCTCGTTAATATTATATAATAAATACAACACATCTACTCCGTCACTACATACTTAATCTCTATCTGTACACTTATATAAATATTATGCATGTTTTCAGCATTCATAATAGCGATCGTATAAGGCAAAGGCCTTATTAGAATTCAATGAAAGTGTTCCTAATGAGTAAATTCTATAATCTCTCCATGTTAAGTCATCTCTTACAATGCACAAAAAACCTTGTCTGCACTATTAAATATTGAAGTGCGTCAAAATCTTTCAGTTAATACGTACAGAGCTTGAAAAGAAATTTTTTCCTAATTAGAATGAAAACGATGTTAGATCCCTATCTTGGGATATTTTCAATATTAGTTATTAATTAGGATTGATTATGTATACTTTTCTCTACAATATGTAAGTATTAATATATATGTGTATGTTATGAACTATAGAGTTCAACTTTTTAAGTACTGTAGAAGCAGTGGATATTTAATAAACTAAGAAAATCAATCAAAACCATAACAAAATACATAAATTATAAGTACCATATATAAGCCACATGATAATTAATTATTGATTAAAATTAAACATAAATATTGTTCATTAAGGTTGATTGAATCAATAGAATTTAATTAGCTTTCGAAATTAATAAAACCTTCACTCACATCACATATTCATTTATTTATATTAATTCATGCACTCTACATATCGATGTGAAATGTAGAGACTACTCTGCATCTGTACCGGTTTGAAAAAAAATGTTGCATAGCATGTATTATAACTAATTTAAAAATAGAATCTGATGATAAACTATTTTTACCCAACTGCACCAGAAGGTGGGTTATGTTTTTCGACTGTATGTATGTATGTATGTACATATATTACTTTGGCATGCTCTGTAGCCTAATCGGCTTGATTGATTTTAGCTTGAGAGGTGTCGTTAGATTCGTCTTAATTATGAGAGTTATACTGGGTATATCAAAATTATAAAAATTAAAATGGCTGATATTTGGCACCTTTTTATACCCATCGAGTGGTGAGACAGACGCGGTTATTATAAAACAAGTATTCTCATTCAATTAACTCTTACCAAGTTAACTGACAATATTATTAGCAGTAACTTACTAATTGCCTATTATAGAATAATGTTTTAATATTGACGTTGTATTATACTTAGCTAATGTTTAGTGGAGCTGGAATTATGGACATTGATTAGTAACTTAAATAATCATCTCTACACACAACACAGGTACATACATATATGTAACTATACTAAAATTTGAATAAATTAAGTACAAAAATATTTCACTCTATACTTTATATATGCAATGATGTTGTATATATGTATGTCTTATTTATATCATAAATCTTTCCATGAAGAACGCATTAGAACTAAAGTTTTTATTAATAGTAACTTGTGTGTTATGCTCTGATTCGTCCTACGTTTCATTTCTATCTGATGAAGATACACTATTGTGAACTTTAACGAAATTAAAAATAAGCTTATATTTATTTGTTTTAATAATCTGATAGTCATTATTTAATACTAACTTTTAAAACATACTGTTATGTTGTGATAAATGAATTGGTAAAGGCATACAAAAACAGGAAAATGAAAAAGCGCGTATATTTTAGAATTAACAGCTATGTCTCAACTCTCAATGATTTAACCACATGGGTGAAGTTTTTTAATTTTTACGTAACCTCTCTTTTATGTTACCAAAATATTTAACATGTTTAAAATTAATTTATGCAGTTATATTTAAGTATGTTAGTGGAATATTTTATTCATAGTCTACATATTGAACATGTTCTGTTTATTACTACGAATTTAATTTAAATGTTACAAAATACAAAATGCTTACATAGGGTTGCTACATATATAACAAAAATATGATTATTGCTGAGGCAGTACAATAAAGAGGAAAACCCACCCTAACTTAGTACCTACAGTAAGCTAAAATGAAATTGGTTTTAACAATCATTCCAACTTTTCATCTAAAGAATGTCGGATGTTGTGAATATAAACCGGTACTTAATAGAAATAATGGCATTTACGAATTGTATGCTAAATTATATTGCTAACCTTTAGCACGTGAAAGTCTATTAGAGTTGTGCACAATATTTGCATAAATATTGCATCTCTAGCTTATAACGTTGTTCGAAAGTCACACTATATATTATTGTTTTTTGAAATAGCAAATTGGCAAGAGTATAAATAATTACCCAAACAACTTTCGACATTAATAAGGGGAATATTTCACAAGTTTTATATTGCTACCACTCCCTGTGCAATTTTAGCATTAAAATAACTTGCGTCATACATCATTAGGTACTTCATAGGTGATGCGAAAATGTATGGACTATTATATTTTGCAACCCTCAAACCGTAATATCTCAAGGAAGGTTTCCATTAGGAAAATAATTTTTTTGTAGATCAACATGTTTGTGATATCTTGCATAGTTATATCATGAGCTTTGATCTCGAATAAGAAAAAAGAAACAAGTAAGTTCGATGGGAATTTTTGAGTAGTCATTCAATATAACGAATTTAAGACATCTCCCAATTCATAGTACTATACAAATTTTTTAAGGAGTTTGTAGTGGGTCTTGTCTAATTTGGCTAGACGAAATATATTGGTCACGATCTCACAAAGCAAAAATCACACAACCTGTGGCGCAGTGGGCAATGAATTATTATCAGTCAGAATTTAATCATAATTGTAAAGAGCTGACAACATTTATTTCATTTAATTTCATCTTCACGCAAAGTAAAGAGAAATTTAGTAACATTTTACTCCACTCCACGCTATCGCCTGTATGTGCTGGGCAGCGGGTCCAATACTATGTTTTATCCTAACCGGAGTAGAGAAAATAGAAGTATCTATACTGTCTACATTCACTCGGTATGGAATCGAATACATGGCATCCATCATTAGCCATATAGCCAATCCTATAAGACATCACAAGAACACTATAACGACACCATATTATCTACTCATATAATAAAATTCTAACTGAGACGAATCTGTACATTAAATAATTTATGGAAAATATTATTGAAATATATGTATTATGTAGTCATTATTATCGATACAGATGCCGAATCTATAGTTTTTAGAATTTTTGTCTGTCTATCTGTCTGTGACCGCATTACGAGAAACCACTGGACAGATTTTGATGAAATTTGGTATGATGATAGCTGATTATCCGGGAAAAGAGTCGTTAGTGAAAATATAAGAGTAATAGTAAAATACTTACTTCAAACAATCCTTGCAGTTCTTTCCCAATAATTTACTTTTGGAATCTCTAGTTTCCGAACAGTAGCACTTCTTGTCAGGTTTCAAGGAACAGTAACACCGGTCGATACAACTCTCCGATTCACATTCAGAACAAGACACATATCCGCTTGAGCTGTTTCTGTTCTGACATCGTAAGGTTAAAAAATCTGAATCTTCTGATGACGTCCTTTCGCCACGCGATTTTAAATGTCTTTCCGATTTTTTACTATTTCTTTGTCTGGGTTGTCGCTTTGGAGCCGGAAATTCAGGTTCCTTAGGCCTAAACTGCCGTAAGTCATAACTAGATGTCGACACAGAACTCTCGGTCTGCTCTTTTGCCTTCATAGTAGCTTTTAACGATTGAACATCGGAATTCTGTTTCTTTTCTTTTTTCTGCAACTCTTTTCCGAATGATAATCTAAATACCATTCGAAGTCCGCTCGCACCTTTAAAAATTTTCCGCCTTTTATTCTGAAATGTACTGTTCCTTCGTAATATTTTCTTTTTTTGCTTCTTCATTATAGCTTTGCTGTGCTGAAAGATTTCATCTTTAGTTAGCGTTACGGCCAATTTCAGAAGGAATTCCTTGTAAATCGGCTTCAAGTCATTAAAAGACATTCCTTCCGGATCTATTATCGCGTTTAAAATTTCATCCATCGAATGTAGGTTTTCCTGAACTTTAAATTCATTAAACAGCTCATTGAAGCCTAATGGTGAACCGCCGCCTTTTTTTCCATTGTTCCTAAAAAAAATACTAAAAATCATATCTATTAAGTGCACAAATTTTTACTGTAAATTATATTTGAATTGTTGCGGCAATAAAATTTTAATTGTCTTTCATAGGTCGCACATTTCTTCTGAACACTTTTACCAAATAAATATTAACAATTGTACAAAATATGAAGATAATAATATAAAACAGTGAAGTGAATATGATCTGTGTGAATTATTAGAGTGGATTAGAGGAATGCCGGTTGCATTAGCACAATTATTTACACGCGAGATGTCGAAACAGTCGGCTAAGCATGTTCTATTCAATCTCGTTAACGTTATTTTTACTTTGGTTCGTCGAGTGTAACAATTGTGTTAATTGACGTGAATATATTAACTTGCTTCGGCTTTTGATTAACGCGGTGCAATAGTAGAAAGGAATGGGAATACGATTTAAGGAAAACCAGAGAAAACACACAAACTTGATCGAAATCGCCAAATACATAAGAAATATAATAAAAGTGTTCATTGTTCATCAAGATAAAAATGTTAATGTATACGTTTTAGAAACCATCACGCACCATACATACAATTACAGAAGGTTAGAAATATAGTTAATTTATTATACCTTTGTCCAATAGATTTGTATCGGGTCAATCCACCAGCATTTAAGAAGCTCCCAGAACGAGGAATGGCCACTTTTGTCAATATGTCGCCAGATTCACTTAACGAATTTCTGCCACTTTGACTTCTCCTTAAAGGTTCTTTCGTAATATTTGTCGTAGTTTGATTTGGTTTCGAAGGAACCGGAGGAGGCAAGGTTGGAGGCCTTTGCATACCTTTCCGTCGTTCTAGTTCTCTAAATAGTTCAATTTTTTCCGATACTTTACTTTGAACCGAAGATTCAGTACTACTTTGGATATTTTGTGATACTTGAACTTGACTACACGTATTTTTTAAAATATTCGACTCTTGAGATTCACTACTCGTATCGTTTTGTTTTATTAAATCTAATTTAGCTTTCACTTCTTCCACAGTAATGCGTTTCGGTTCATATGTAGCTATGTGAGAACTTTCTAGTATGTTTTTCGTTCTTTCTAATTTTGGTTTTTCAGTAAAAGACTCGCTGGCTGAAAACCCGTCGGCTCTATCACTGTCGCTTAAAGATGATGTACTCCGTTTTTTTCGTGGAGGTCGTATCGGAATTTCATTTGCGGGTAAACTACTCGCCACACTCATACAGCTAACTCCATTTTTGTTTCTCAGTTTTTTATTGTTGTGACCCTGTCTACTCATATGTGACATAAGCGATTTGTATAACGTGGCCGCTATTACTATAGCGTCCTCGGTACTCTGACATACAAATCCATGACACTCAAGCTGTTTTGCAACCCCTATTTTCCTCATCACTACAGCGAAAAGGGGTGAATGTGAATTTTCGTTGTGGGAGAGGATATATTTTTTTTCAGATGAATTTAATTTTTTGAACAATGCGTGTCGGTCGATGTTATCTGGATCAGTAATAAGAGGAACGAATGCATAGCTCGACTCGTTCTTGTCTTTTTCTGATGGCTGAACTATAAACTTAACCGCAGACCACACTGCTATAGTTGGAAAAGGATTTAACTGTTCTAAATCTCCCTTCTCTCCTTTATATCTGACTTTTAAACCACTTTTAGAGATTTCTAACTGACTTGTAAAGCTACTCTTATGGCGAAATTTGCTTTTATAAGCGAAATATAAATTTCGAAGTGGATCTTGAAGTCCAGATAGACTAGTCACTTTACTCTGCAGGGGCGTCGAACCTAAATAATTTACACTAAATAAGTGCACACCTATGTTCTCTGTTAGTCTAGACTCTCCTGCCATTTCTGCAAACATTCTTTCTATTCGATCTTGAACAGTATTATTAATTTTTTTGATTTTATTTTGACAATAATTATTTTCATCTTCGAATATAGTTTTGGGATCGTGAGTTATGCTGACCTGAAATTTGCATTTAATAATTTTAGTAAATTACCAATATATCAGTATCAATATAGCAATGGATACTGATAATTAAATATCATTAAATCATTCAATTATATTGTCAGAGCCTTTATCCGCAGTTCCGGTCGTGCAAATAGTTTATACATATACATACATATATATAATTGCTACGCTCCTTTATTAAGGTCATAAAGTTAAATTAGCTATTAAGTAATATATAAAGTGAAACTATTTTTTTTGAAATTGGACTAAAAGTTTCAAACAACGAGGCGTCATGGTTGAGTGCGTAAGTGATCCTGCGACGCCCCATTAAGACGAGGGAGTTTCTGTTGAGTTTTAATGAAGAGTACTTGCTTTTCTACTCAGTGAGTTCCACATAACCACCTTTATGTATATAGGGTAGTATGCGTAAAAAAGGAGTTTCAAACAAAAGCGCGTTGAATAAATATAAAACAAACTCTCAGCTTATACAGCTTACATTACATGGAATTTATATATAGATATAAAGAGAACTTATACATATATATTCTTAAAATATGATTTTGTTTTACCTTACTATCTCTTCGTTCTGTATCCGAAGCGGAAACATATTGTGGCAAGCTTGTGATAGAGCGTGTGTCGTCGAACAGGGCATCAATTTTCTGCTTGTAGAGCGAAAGGGAGGAGACACTCGGCGCTCGCGGGTGGTGGTCATCGTGAGCGCCGAGGTGGAAGCCGCCTAGGGACGTACTCTCGCTGTCGCACGTTACCATCTTATGATATACAACTTTTCTGTAGGATTATTTCTTTTTTGGCTATCTTTTTCTCATTATCGTAAGTTACCACCTAATATAATGCAATTCACCAGTAGAATTATTTATTTATTGGCTACTGTTTGCTTCTATCGAATTATTCTTGGTTAATTTACCAGATTACATAAATTGTAGATTTAATTGGAACATTAAAAATATTCATTATTTCTTTAATAAAGTGAATATACGATTTATACAAAATTATATTATTTACAATTTTTTGTAGAGTGTAGGAGTTAAAATTATTATAATAACATTAGACTATTCATATATCTACCTACAGTAATAAAAAAATTTAAAAGCCCTTTTGACTTCTTAATTTGAAACTTCGCTCTGTCTTCATTATCCTTAGTTATTAGTCTAAATTATATACCTACATATATAAAAATATACAACTCAAATCGATAAGATAAAAATTAATCAAATAAAAATGAAGAATATAATCGCGTTGTCTAAACACAATAATTTTCATAGAAAATAGCAAAAATTATATACTTATTACGAGTAATTTCTTTGAACAGATTAACACGTAAACGTAATTTAACGAGCAGCAAGAAACATAATGCATCACATTACCCTTAGCCGGTAATAAAAGTGAAACTTATTTTAAACGCAATTACATAACGGAACTGGACTGAATAAAAAATGCTACTGTTTTAAATTAACTCAAGTTTAACGATAAGTCTATAAAAAACTACTAGGCATCGTAGTTTTGGAACTTTTTATAACCAAATTAAAAATAATATACTTTATAGACTTATTATTATAATACTGCTAAACTTTAATTTTAACTTTCTCAAACTTATTTAAGAATATTTTTCCCGAAGTTTTTTTGTTAAAATAAACACTTATCTACTTATCGTAGAAAAATATATGGTTATCGTCCATCGTAAAATAGGAAAAAATTAACATGAACAAGTATTTCACTGAACCATACAATACCATAAGTAAGAATATTAAACAAGCATTCTTCGTCAATGATGCGTATAAATTGATGCTCACGTAGAACGCAACACCGGGGAGTGCATGCTCGCAGGTGTATCATACAAAAAGTAGCGTTATATCAACTTCCTATTGTTACTATATGTTTCATATTTAACTGTATAACAATAAGTGGTAACTACTCAATTGTAGAATATAATTGATTTTACAGGTATTAATTTCCAATTACGCTAAAATAGTTAAAAAACCGTTTAAATGCTAATATTAATATAGACTAGATATGTATATACCTCGCTATCTGTTGATGGGCCTTTGGCCCAATATTTGTTAGCATATTGATATCCTCCCGTCCGCTAAGCTGAGCAACTGAAATAATGAAAAAAAACTTTTATTATTTATTCATTAAATAAGTGCAGAAAGAAATATCAATATAAAAAGTTATATTATTGCTAACTGGGTTAATAATTATAATTATAATAGTGTTATTTATTTAAAAAGCTGGAGCCTCATAATATACCCTCATATATTGCGTCTAACATATATTTCTAATTTTCAAAATGAATTAGAATCTATGTTTCACCCTTATTAACAATCAAATTCATTTGATTACTAACATTAAAATCATTATGTTTGTCTGTCTGTCTTTACAAAGAAAAGCAAAAGGGTATAGAAAATATAGGAGTTGTTTAAAAATTGATCGTATGCAAAGATGTTACAAATTTTTACTTAATTAACGTAAGCTTCGCAGATACTACTTATCCTAAAGTAAAATAGTTAACGCAAAATACTTGAAATAAGTTAATCTGAAAATCCAAAAAAGAAAAAAACACAAAATTTGTAAACATATGTATTTGTTTATAAAAAAAAAACTGTTACGATTTATAAAACTGACTGATTATTATTTTTTTACAAATGTGTACAAATTAGTTAGATATTCTTTCTAAAATATTGTTCTACTACTTCTAACTATGTAAATACATTGATAATAATATATCTAATTACAAATTTATAGAAGTTATACTTAAGGGTTACTTGAACCCCGAAATATTTGGATTCTTAGAAAATTGCTCATTTCGTTATATTTAAATTCTAAAAATATAAACTATCTAAAATCTATAAGACCTTTCCAATAATTGTTTAAAAATAAATGAATATATATATGCGCCTATCATGAGATAGTCGATTTCAATAGTAAAAATAAGAAATGTGCAGGTACGAGCAGGTTGACGAATGTTCATGCATTACCAATTATGATACATATGAATATTATAGTCACATCAGTCAACGTTCGACAATTGAAGACAATGACCAATAAATACTTAAGAATCAGTAAACTATGATTAACGTTTTAGTCTCATGGCATGCTTCGACGCTCGTTGTTACTGTGTAAAAACATAAAAGGAATAATATGTACCTATGTTTTAAGTTGCTAGAATATAAAAATAAATATTTAATACTTTTAAAATTTGTTTGCCATTTATTATTTCTACGGTACTCAGACGGAATGAGTATTAAACGGTTTTTGTTATTCAAAACACTATTTACCTTCTTAAAGTGTCTAACGGATTACAGCGTCTTTGTCTCATAGTACGGTACATAGATGCTTATGGGTGCTTTGGCTTTTATTTACCTGTAAGAGTTTAATTTCTGAATTTAATCTATTGGTTTAATATACAAATTATTTTTAATAAGTATGTACACAAAATTATATAATATAAGTAAATTTTATATAGTATATAAAGACAGATTACATAGTCATACAAACTTGCTATCATAAAATTAAAAAAAATATATACCTGTCGAATTGAAAGCTTCCTCCTATTTTTCGTCGGTTAAATAAAAATTAAATGTATAAAAAAATCGAAAAGTCTTATTTAAATTGACAAATATTCCCTATAAGATTATTATATGAAAACTTAAATAAAAAATATGAAACTATTAATATTATTATATAATATTGTATTTTTTATATACACTAAATTTACTTCTAAGTACTACTTGCAATTAGTACCTACTAATTTAAATAAGAGGAAGCTGAGTTGACTTGCCATCGGCCTGTTCTAAATACCCGCTATAAACCTGACCGAGTTTTATAGCGTCGAATTCAATCAAAAGATTGCATTGGATATTATAACGGTCAGACCGCAAGTAGTCAGTTACCCTCTTAACGTACAGTTACAGATTTACCCTACTTCGCAAGATTCATATCACAAATTTATTAAATTTCGCTGTCATTCTGTTACACCTATTAAGAGGTTCTTGTGAAACGCTCGTAAATGGAAATGTTACGTATTATATTAAATTGATATGAAGTACTTTTACGTTGTTGTAATATTTTATTGTTTTCCTTTATCAAGTTCAAACTAAATAAACTGAAAATTATGACTTAATATTAAAAAAAACCTTTCGTATATCTTTCTTTACTTGCTTGTAAATTCAAAATACATAGGACATAATATGTATCTTGAAACGACTATACCGGCTATAACTCAATGAATATAAAAAATATGGATACGGTGATGTAAGCTCAGTTAATGCCCAAACAACAGTTAGTAAATTAAAGCAATAACGGATAGGCAAAGAAGTTGTATGAAAGTGTAACTTATGTGGAAGTAATCGAAAAATTAAAGTGAAGCCAATATTTAAATATGTTCTATCTCAAAACACATCATTTGTGTGAGTGACATTTTATTAAGTATGGAACGGTATGATCCATAGATTTTTTTAGAGATTTTTAATTTGCAGAAATATCTATAAAGTACATAGCATTTTACTCTAGCAATGCTAGTGGATTATCGTCGAACAGATGACACCCTCGCATTGAAAGGAGCCCGTACCCATCAGTGGGACGTTAAAAAAGGGTAAAATATTTGCTTTTATAAATTCTAAAACCGTTTCTTTTTATTTATTTATTTATTTTTCTGAACAGACCTATTTCCAATATAAATTAAAAAAGTAAGTGTATAATGATACCAAAATATGAGCAAAAGGTAGTAGAAATTATTATACGAACAAGTAAAATCTAGAAAGAGACTTTCCTGTCAGTTCAGTAGTTTCTATGTAAAATGAGAGTGCCTATTTAATTTATTGCAACATTAACTAGTTGTCTAACCGTAATATTTGCAAATAATTTACATATTGCCTTGAAATATCGATGAATATATAATAATACCAGGAGTTCAAGAACCTAAAAATTAATATCGCTTAACTTTAGTAAATAGTTTTATATAACTTAAATGATTTGCTTTACGCTTTATATAACGCATAAGAAGCTCACGTTTACCGGAGTTCCACTCGAACATTTGTACATTGTAGTTAAATAACTACATTTCAATACAAAATAGGTAGAAAATATTAAATTAATCTAATCAAATAGATAGGTAATATGTATTAATATTATATAACATTATACGTAGGTACTTACTCGTCATCATTTTAACTTAATAAAAAGAGAAAAAAATATTTCATCGTATTTACAATAATCACATTTCATTTCATAGGATTCCCCATACAACCTTTCATCCCCATTTTCACCTCCTTAAGGGAAGATATCCGGGATAAAAAGTATCCTATGTCCTTCCCAGGGTCTCAAACTATCTTACCAAACATCTAAGTCGGTTCAGTAGATCCAGAAATCAACGTCACAAACTCACAAACTTTACCTCTATAATATTAGTATAGAAGTCTAGATAGTACAAGAATATTTAATTTTTTTCAACAACAGTAGTACGAGTAGCATTAATAAAATTACAATTAAACTAGCGACTTACTCTCGCCTCGATGCACCCTAGATGCCTATTGTAACACAGAGGTTATTGCCACGTGTTACTCAAGGTCATAGTCTACATATGTACTAAATTTCATCCAAATCCATCCAGCTATTTCAGCGTTAATGGAGTAACAAACATACAAACTTTCGTAATTTTAATAGAAATCCGATGCGTAACAACTAATGAGAGCATATATCTAGCTAATGGCGACCATGGCCCAACAATGTAAACAAACCTAAACATATTTAC